CTGAGTAAAAAATTTTATATAGGCCACACTACAACATGTTTGACAGGCAGAATCACTCTACACCTTTCTGACCATAGTTCAATTACATCTCATTTAACAACACAAATATAATAGGATCAGCTCCATGCAAAAAAATGATAAAAAATATTGGAAGCCTTATTAATAAAAATGAAAAACCAACACTCAGTAATATCAACCATTAACATGGACTCAATATCTTGACCGTATTTTGAAAATTAAAACATTATATAAATGCATACATAGAACAAACTATTTCTTGTTAATAGTTATTATATTTCAACCTTAAAAATGGCTAAATGTATATCCGAAAGCGGTCGGTTAAAAAGAACATTTATACACATTAGAAATTGTATAAAAACACCTTTTCTGTCGTATATATATATATATATATATGTTTACATTTCTGAGATGAGGTATTATGTACACTATTTACATTATTCGGAGTATTGTCCTCATCTTTGCCATATTTATCACAACATTTCGGCCTTGTTAATGTGGTTGGAATGTCGAAATGAACCATTTATTTCGCTCGATTGATTTATATTTTTTATACAATTTCTCATGTGATATTTTTTTTTCTTTTAGGATCATAAATTATATAAAAAGTGTCCAATTATTCTTTTTATCCGAGTGCATTCGGCGATATATTCAGTCATTCTCAAAAAAGAAAAAAATCCTCAACACCAGTTGACAAAAGCAGAAAAATTAGATGAATTATTTATTATAAAAATTTTAAAACCTCTAACTTTATAGTTAAAAATAATAATTCAGCTTTTAGAACAAAATTAAATAGGATAAATATTATTTACAAATTTAAATGGCCATTAAGGAATTGTATTTCCGATAAATCAAAATTCGTAAATAATTATATAGGCTACACTACAACATGTTTGACGCGAAGACTCACTCTACACCTTTCTGATCATAGCTCAATTAGATTTCATTTAAATATTCATGGAGACCTAACGGACACTAATCGTAACATAATTATTGACAACATTAATATAATAGCATCATCTACATGAAAAAACGGCTAAAAATAATTGAAGGCATATTAATAAATACAAAAAAACAACACTTAATAATATTAACTATGAACATGGACACAATATCTTGACCGTGTTTTGAAAAATGAGGACATTTTATAAAACATACATACAACAAACTATTTCTTATTTAACAGTTAAAATATTTAATCCTTGAAAATGGTGAAATGTATAGCCGAAAGCGCTCAGATAAAAAGAACATTCGGACAGTTTTTATATAATTTATTATCTGAAAAGAAAAAAATGTTAGATCAAATGAAAAATCGGTTTAAAAACTAAATCAATGCACCGTGTCTGTCGTATTCAATGAAAGGTATATATATATATATATATATATATATATATATATATATATATATATATATATATATATATGGTGGCCTGACGATTGCATCTAGCATGGAACAGAATGTCGCTTCTAAGTGTTGACTTCTATGTTCATTTTATATTTACACGCGCTCTATCTCTGATATTGAGCACTTTATCCCATAAATATATCACACCCTAAGAATATACTTCTTCATATATATATATATATATATATATATATATATATATATATATATATATATATATATATGTATGTATTAATGCATGTTTCATTAAGTAATATAGACATGTTTTGTCAATTTTAAACAAATTCCTTTCGTATCGTGTGATAAGCTTAATAACATTATCATTGTAAGACGAAAGGAAATCACCATATTGATACATATTGTTTTAATCTTATCAAAGCTTTCGGCTTCACATAAGGCATCATGAGAGATGGCAAATGCATTACAATATATTAAAACTTTACACAGACATAACAATAATGATAGTCTGTTTTGTTTGCATGGAAGCTTTCCCAGCAACGACAAACTCGTGTATACGAGTCACTGGAAGTGAAAATCGCGCCGCAGCCCATGACGTCATACATGACCAAGCGAGAGTGAAAACGAGAAGTATTAAGTATGGGAAGCCGTTGGTATAAACCAATGGATTCCGTTATCAATTATAGGCGTTTAAGAACATTTGTGGACATTTCGTAGTTTATTTTGTCCAGGTTAGGTTTCAACTGTTTTATGTACATAGTTTCAAGAATTTTTAATTTTGTTTATTGTTTTCACGTTTAAGTATAGTTAAGTATATATTTTCAACAAGGATTTTCCGGAATTGTGTATGCGGCCAGGTATATATATATATATATATATATATATATATATATATATATGTGTGTGTGTGTGTGTGTGTGTGTGTGTGTGTGTGTGTGTTGTGTGTGTGTGTGTGTGTAAAAATATATAGAAAATAGGAAAGAATTCGTTAGGTAAATAATCCAAAGTTCTTTAGTATTTTTGTTATTATTTTTAAAAAATAATGCTCGATACAAATGTAGAGAAAAAAAAATTTCGCTTGAAGATGGAACAGAGCATCGTACTTTAATTGAATTTAATTCAAATAATTATATTGAAGTTTTCGGCTCTTGTTTTGAAACATGAGAACTCTTATGTAGCGATGGAATCATATTTTAAATAAATAATTATATATATATATATATATATATATATATATATATATATATATATATATATGACAGATAAAAATATAATATATGTATATGTGCATACATACATAGATATATACATACACAGATACGCAGATACAGACACATACTTGAAGTGACCGAGATACGATTCTATTGTCTTTAAAGATGTTGAGAATTTCATGGATTGAACAGGTTTACGAAGTGGAAGATTTACGGTAAATGAAAAAAGAAAAGACACTTATACTTAGACATGAGGAAAGTGGGCATGGAGAAATTAACACTCCCAGGGTCTCTTGAAAGCAAGATGGACAAACAAAAGCAGCATATAAGCAACGAAAATAAGCGGGCTTAAAGTAGAGCGAGAAAAGACAAACCATGTTAAGATCTACAAAAGAAAGGAAGTTATGGAGGGCTATGATCGCTTACATTCTGAAAGGAGACGAAAAAAATGAATATATGTAATACATATTTTATCTATCAATATAAGAGATAGTTGAAATTTTCAAGGCGCAAAATGAGGAAAGAGTGTTTGGAGAATTTGATACGCGCAGGACATGTTAAAAGGGGGAGAGGGAATGGACGTACAACCTTAAATAAATGGATGGGAGGTGGCATTGGTTTACGAGGTAAGAACAAGAAGAAAAATTATTAAGAGCCACAAAGAATAAGAAATAACGGAGAGCCATGATTTCCTAGTTCTCGATGAAACACGACACTTAAAAGAAAGAGATATATCTATTGCATAATGACACAGAGAGGAACACATGCATACTCAGATGTATCTATAAATCGATGACTAGATTTAAAGTTGAATAAAGATTGATAGGAAAAATAAAAAAAAAAATGGCGCTGATAGTTTGAACTTAGTTAAGAAACGAACAGGAATCTCCTACCATTATGTAACACCTTATAAAACGCATACACACACAAACACAAACACACACACACAATTATTCCTGGAAGAAATTTGCAAGCTTTTTTATAAAGAAAAATGAAAAGAAAAGAAAGGGAAAAAGATCAGTGAAAAATCAAAGCATGCCTCACTTACACAGAGGCAAAAAAAAAATAAATATATATATATATATAAAATAAAATTGAAGAGTTTTGGAAATAGCAAAAGACAAATCCGAAGAATATTTTCTTCGCCTGCAAATGTTTTCCCTGAGAATCTCCATTCCTTGCCCGCCATAATTTCGCTTGATGCAATTAGACATTGAAAATCAAACATGGCCGCCCTTTCCAATATCAAAATATGTGCCGTGCATTGGATTTTAATCCAGTTTATTCATTATAACTCCCAGCAATGCACCGATGCCATTCTTTTCGCCATGCTCTTCCGCAAGCTTCTCCTTCTGAATCATTCGATCAGCTTCCCAGTTATCATCATTACACGTGCATTTTTGTATCATTATCAGCAAGATTCAGAATGTTTTCCATTTTCTTTTCCTATGACTACCGTGATTTTCAAGATTTCTTCTCTTGTTTTTACTCAATCATCATTCCTGAGATTTCTTCTTCTTCTTCTTCTTCTTCTTCTTCTTCTTCTTCTTCTTCTTCTCATCTTTATTCTTCTTCATCTCTTCCTCCTACTTCTTCTTCTCCTCCTCCTCCTTCGTCTTCTTCGTCTTTTTCTTCTCCTCCTCCTCCTCATTCTTCTTCTTCTTCTTCTTCTTCTTCTTCTTCTTCTTCTCATCTTTATTCTTCTTCATCTCTTCCTCCTACTTCTTTTTCTCCTCCTCCTCCTTCGTCTTCTTCGTCTTTTTCTTCTCCTCCTCCTCATTCTTCTTCTTCTTCTTCTTCTCATCTTTATTCTTCTTCATCTCTTCCTCCTACTTCTTTTTCTCCTCCTCCTCCTTCGTCTTCTTCGTCTACTTATCTTCTTCTCCTCCTT